TTTGAAACTTGTTTTTGCTTATAAAAATATGGCTTTAAGTGTCCTCTATACGATGGTGAAAACCGCAGGCCGCTAAGACCTTTCGTTAAAAAGTTATTTGAAAAACGGCAACCGGCACGACTTTTCCGTTTCGATAGCAGTTAGATATAATTCAATTAATTTGTCAAATTCATAAAACCACCCTGAGGGCGTGGGCAAGGATCTTATTGAGAACGTGTCATTTGAAAATATCGATGAATTAAAAAATTTAATTCATCAATGTAGTACAAATATTGGTTTAGCCTACACCCTTTATTTATGATTTATACACTATTATAAACGTTTTTATACACAAACAAATATGTCGATTAATATTGGTTTCATACAAAGGATTCAAAATGAACTTCAACAATAAATAATTCAAAATTTTACACAAATTGGTTATCAATTTATTTTATTGTTATCAAACAATTTTAATATATATATTATTATTTTGAAGATTGTGGAATGCCAAATGATCGTTCAAAATGTCCCTTTGTAATAGTGATATTGGTTCATTACAACGTGGCTCATATATCTTACTTCAATGTAATGTTTATTACGTATGTTCACACACACAATTATGATGATGTTATATTAATTAAAATATTTAATACAAAATTCTCAAAACCACTTTTCTATCGATTATTTCAGAGAACATTATGAAAAAGATTATGAATTAATTGGAAACATAATTGGTAAACAAGAAGATTGTCAAATTTAGTTATATAAACTGTTCAATCATAGTCATCGTTCATAAATGATATTCTGATTTAAGAAAGAGTGAAGAATAGTATAATATAGAGGAATAAGTAGTATTGAAAGATGGTCAAATCAGAAAGACACCCATAACTAATAGTATAATTTTATAAATCAAAACATTCAACTAAATGGTATATTAGATACAAATATGAAAGTTATTCAGTTTGAAAAAACATATTGAACAACTAATTGTATTTCTACATGTAAAATCAATACCAAATGAAATTAAACAATATCGCTTAACATATACAGAATTTATACGTGAAAGAAATGCTGAACCATCATTTAATGATTATATTAATGAATTAGTTGAAAATGAACAAAAATATCCATTATTAAACTTTTTTACTCTAACAAGAAGTAATAATGATATTAATGATGAATTTCGATTTAAAATTTTATTTATTACGTTATGAAAATGTCTATCTAATAACAGATTTTGTTTTAAAACATTTAGATCAAATTGAAAATATTCAATTAATATATCCAATTGTTAATTTTACAAATTATTTATTACAAAAATATAATCATCGTATATTACGTAATGAAGCAGCAACAAACGATATTCAATATTATTTAACATCGAATGATGAACGTCAGTTATTTAAACAATTTTGTCATGCATGATATCGATTAACATTAAATGAAGTACGATATAATTATCAAATAATTAAATTTATTCGTTAACAATCAATTGAAAAAATTTCTAAAAAAACAAAATTAGCATTTTTCTTATTAAATGCATCAAAAGATAATAGTAGTATAGCTATACTTGGATATTTACAAACATTAGCTAAACTTCAAAATACAATTGTTAATTATTATCGACAAATAGATCAACCAGTAAATGAATTAATTGAAGATGAAAAAACACGTTTACAACTTATACAATCATTAACATCAGAACATTTATTAGAATTAAATTCAGAGACAATGTTTGACATATTAAGTAATGATGGTTTTGTTATGAATTATGAATACGATAAAACAAAAGAAATATTATATGGTTATGATGAAATTGAAATTAAATTAAGAAATATGATTAGTAAAATACGTCTGATTGGTACAGATAAACTTTATTTTTTTAATTATCAGTTTGAATTATATAATCAAGATGTGTTATTATTTAATGATATACGTTGGGTGGGGGTGCTACTTTACTTTTACTAATTATTACATTATCTGGTAAAAGTAATAAGCGTTTGCTACTTATTACCGATAAAAAAGTAATAAAATCTTTTTATTTTGTAACTT